ACTCAGCTCCCTCAATTTTTCCTGCATTTCTCTACAAGAAATCAAAGTATAGAAGCATCAGCATAATCCAAGGTTGCAGAAAAAAAGATGGATATGATTGTTGTAACGACCCCAAAATGCGTATAAGGAATTATCTTTCTTTACCTATGGGTTAATGTGCTCTAATTTAATTATATTTGTTCGAATTGAAGAATTATCTGTTGAGTTACGACTTTAAAACTGGAATTGACGACCTTTATGGGTTTAGAATTTGGAATTGAGTACATAGATATGTTAATGGGAATTTTTAGAGCTATTTGGGAAAATTAATTAGAAATTTAATTCGTCAGATTCGTTAAGGTGTGTTTGGATGGTTAACTTTGCACTGCAAATTGAAGGCCTTAGAGGCTTCAGAAACCAGAACATAGTACATATTTATGATCAGCATAATTTTTAGAGTCATCTGGGAAGTTTAATTGAAACTGAATTTTGTACGATTCATAAGGGTGCGTTTGGCTCCCCCAATTTGTGATAAGCTTAGATATAATTAAATGTATAGATGTATATGTGATATAGGAGTTGAACTCATCTCTTGGAGCCCAAAATATCTAAAGGAGAGGGAAAGACACGTGAGAGAGAGAGAGAGAGGGGGAGAGAGTTCTAGAGAGAACTCAAAGAGAAGAAGGGAGAAAGAGTAGGAATGAAATAGGAGATCAAGGATTTGGCTTGAATTCATCATGGTTATGCAAAAACAAGTGATGGTAAAGGCTTAAGGTAAGATTCTCCTTCTCAATACTTGAAGATCATAAGCTAAAGAGTGAGTTCTTGGCTTATCTATGATTGTATGTATGGGTTTTGTTTCTTCAAGTAAGAAGATGTTGAATCCTTGTATATAGCATGAATTTATGTTACAATTTAATTTCTTGTAGGAATTTTATGGTTCTTAAGGAGGCTAAAGAGGATTTCACCATGTAAGTGAGCTTTGGATCCCAAACCATGTCCACTCTATGCTTTTGTGTTTTGATTCTTAATCTTGTTCTTGTAATTGGGAAATTGAGTAGTTATTTGGAGTTATGGTTTTGGATGTAAGTTAAGAATGTGAAATTTAACATGTGTTAAAGAGTTTTGGGCTTTGATTTACATGAAATTGAAGTTTAATTTTGAAAATGAGAGGTTCCAAGTCAAGAAGCCATTTTCGGACTGGTTTTTGCCCAGAGCCGCACGTGCAGCGGGTCTTCCCGCACGTGTGGCAATCCATTTCCAGCACCAAATTTAATTCTGCTAAAAAAGCACGTGGTCCCGCAGGTGCGGCCCTGTTTCCCGCAAGTGCGGGACAGCCCTGTTTCAGCCAACTTCAAATAAGCATATATCCTGCATCCGGACTCCGTTTTAAGTGATTCTTAAGCCTAAATTCAAGCCCCGGAAGTCTAGTTTCTAATGGTGGTGGTCTCGCTCCCAAATTCTAAATATGCAAATAGATATGCCATAAATAATGACGATTGTTCACTTTCTGTCTACCGGTTTTATACCATTTCTTCTTCTAAATCATTTTCCTTTCGATTCCTCCTATTTTCCTAGACACGGAGTATGACCTATTAAGGAGTAATGAGTTTAGAACCATCATGGCTAATTGATTAAAGAACAAGAAAGAGATTGGTTATATTCTCATATTGTACTATGTGCATTGTGTTTGTAGATCAAACGAGGACATCGTCCCATTGTTACCAGAAGCCCAGCACTGTGAGTAATAGTATAGTAAAGATATGTTCTTCATTATCTACCTTGATTTATGTGTGTGACATGATTCTCTAAATGCTATATTTTATCAAAATGCATAAGTTTCCAAGAATTGTGAAATAAGTTATGAACTAGAAATGTGAGTTGTTTATAATATGATATGGTGGGCCCAAGGCCGTTCTGTTTATCTGTTCCACTTATGCTATGGCATGATATGAATTGTTCAGTCTTTAAGACCTAATCGTTTTGGTATGGAACAAAGTGTTGTACGGAACTAAGTGCTACAGTGTGAGTCACCTCTAGGGTTCGTACGAGTCACCTCTTGGATCCATACAAACATGAATTGGGCCTAAGGAGAGGTGGGGACGTGTCGATGTTCCATCTACTCCATGATACGACATGATACGTTTGGACCTGAGGTCATTTTGATATATGATTGGGCCTGAGGCCGTTTTGTTATGCAGGGACCCGAGGTCGTTCAGAACATATGATATGAAAGCAAATTTTTTGCATCGCTATATGGCTCATGTTACAATGTGTTATTTTATATGCATGAATGGATGTCCTCTTTAGAAATGTGATTCTAGTATCACATACCACGTACTACATAAAATGTTTTGTAACAATTTCAAATATGTATTTCATTTGAAAAGACATGATTTATGCAAGATTTAAGATACATCTCAGAATTGTGAATTATATTTTCCTAATGTTAAGGACATCATTCATTAACCTCTTTACTTTAATATTACTCACTGGGTGTTAGCGCACCCTTGTATTTTATATATATGTAGGTGAGCCATCGGGGACCACACTAGAGTTGTATCGAGGTCCGTCCCTCTATTAAGCCACCCGGGTTACACCTCTATGTCGAGGCTTGAACTTTGTATTGGAGAATTATGTATCTTATTAAATCTTATGTTTTTGTGTATGAGATCTATATAAGTTTTGTGATTCTATGTATATATGGGAAGTGTATTTAAATGCTTAAATTAATCTAAGTCTTCATGTATGCACAAACTCAATGGGCATTTTATCTATGTTGGTATTTCCTTCCGCTTAAGGCCCCGTATTTGAATACATATTATTATGAAATTTTGTTTTGAGGCCGATGTACAGGCCGGTCATGCACCAAACTTTTAAGGGCAGGTTTGGGTCGTGACAATTGTCTTGCCACAGGCATCATTATGTGACTTTATTTGTTCATCTAATCTATGCTCCTCAAGGGAAAGGTTTTCAACTTCTGCCTGCAGAGGAAAAACACCCATGAGGACAAACCAAAAGCACCTCCAAAGAAAAAGAACATGATATATTTTTCACCTTTTGACTTGGGCTATGTTACCTGGAACGTGGATCGCTCCAATACATGGAATAGGAATTAGAATGTGGCACGTCACATGGTACAACATGGATAAACTTATATAGATTACACTATTTACGTAACATCACATTTCCATGAGCATTTTCTGTCAACATTGGACCTGGATAACATGAATTGTGATGATGAGCCATTTGCTTAACAGAATATGATGCTCCATACAACTCAAATGGAAGTAACCCAAATAGAGGTATTTTAGGGTCTGTTACCAAAATCTTTACCTTAATTCATTTTCTAGACTATGTTCATATATATATATATATATATATATAATAAGAATTATCATTTTCTGGACTATATTCATATATGTTTAACTAAATTATATAAGCTGGCTGGCATGTTATGCAAACCTGCTTCACCTGATTAGACACTAGTGGTGACCACACTAACACATCCAAAAAAAGTAGAATACCGACATGGGTAGACAATAATATACATGTGTCTCATTAATGCATAAACATGTAAAATAAGCATATACAAATTCCATAAGATACACATTTCTTTTGGATTTTATATATCTGTGTCTCTAGAATCTGCACTCAGGTAATGGAAGATGAGTCTCAACAAAATACAACTATTACTAATCCCTTATAATTTTTACTTAAGAATAATATTTTTTTCAGTATATTAAGAAGTGCCCTGCTACATGTTTGATTGGTGTTGCTATGCACCTATGCATATGATCTTACCTTAAATTAAAAAGCCCTGGTACACATTAAGGACATGTCCAGGACGTTTTCATGGGTGATAAATGATTGTTTTATCTGACATGGGAGAGAGAGAGAGAGAGTAAAACACATGTACGCACATTTTGAAAAGTTGCTCATCTATCCCTAAGCCACTAAAAGTTCTGCATGCCAACAAGCTTATATAGCCTCCGTTTGGAAAGTGGGTTGACTTTTTGACTATTTTGACTATTTTAGTCTGGGCTTAAAAGCTTAATTTGGGAAGAATTTTTTGACTTTTTGACTTTTTTGAATTTTTTTGTGAGAGAAGAATGTAATAATTATGAGTTGGATGTGATGTTTTGTTTGTTATGGCCAAAATAGCCTATTTTGTTTTTTGTGGCTAAAATAGCCAAAAAAACCTGCAAACCGACTTGCCAAACACAGACATATTTACAGCTTCCATTCAATTAGAGACCAAAATAAGGTAACACCAGCATCAATTATAAAAATAAATACAATTAATGTTTGAATAAAGATTGAGACTCCCTTTTGACTCCCTTTCTTTTTTGATTGGTTACTCTTTTTTTTTTCTTTTTCTTTTTTTTCTCCTCCTCCAATCACCACCCGCCACGTGCGTGGAGAGATTGTGGGAGTTGAAGTTTGAAGGGGTCTAAATCACTATTGTTAATGTTTGTATATTTTTTATTTTACATGCTAATGTAATGAAATAAAAATTTTTAAAAAATTATAAAGAAAATAAAGTCATATAAAATTTTTTTCTTTTGACTTGGATCACAAATTTAACCATAAAAATTATTATTTATTTCAAATCCCAACACAAGACCAGTAATTAATCAAATGCATAAATTTATTCAAATCAATTTTCACAGATCAATCTACAAAACAATCTAAATTAGAAGGAAAAAAAAAAGGCGATGAAAATAAGAGACGAGTGTCACTGATTAATGGTATCAGGATTATAAGGAGATCATTTGTGTGTGAGTAAGTGCAAGGTAATTTGGGAGGCAAATTACGTTGGTTTGCATATTGACAAATTTTAAACCAAGCTAATTTTACCTGTCAATCTTAATCATCTAACCCGCTCACTTTCTTAAACCATAAGGGGCCATTTGTTTCATGGAATTGAGGTGCGAGATTGGATTTCATATCCAATAAATTTACTAATCTATTAGTTGGTTAAAAAAGTAAAGGTTGGACTAATAGTCAAATACATATCATTTCAAGCTAAATAATCTAGTTACTATTTATTGAGGACTAACCGTCCATTCTATTACAATCCGCTCTTATCCAGTCCATCCAAACAAGTAACCCTAAGAGTTTGGGTTGGTTTGAGTTAAAGTTGGCGAGTTTTTCACACACCTTATTGCAAGCACAAGCTAAAATTCTTACACTCAAGAATACAGTTTTGTCATCATAGCTAGATCCGGTAGAAGCAAAATTGGATCCGATAAGAAGGTTTTTCCCTAAGGCCTGTGGGCTAAGATATGTTAGCGGGTATGCGGTAAAGCCCATTGCATCAGCTGCATGCACAGAGAGAGAGAGAGATTAGAATGACAATTAGTAGTATTAGATTAGAGATACACAGATTGAACTTACAGAGACAGGTTAAAATGTCAATTAAGTAATAATATTAGATTTGATACACACAGATTGAACTTGACAAAGCCAATATTCTCAAGCTGCTGAACAACTTACCGGTGATATCAGTTGCTAGTTTGCCATTGCAGAACCTTCCAGTTGGTTTATGATGGATGAACACTGCCATAAGGTGGGAAATTAGCTTTGAAAATGGTGTGAATATAGTCATTGTTCCCAACATGAGTCACCAAATTCTAAGATTGCAAGAACAAGAGTTGTTGAATTTTGAGCATCCCCACCACTAATTGCAAAGGCCAATGCAATAATCAAAAACAATGTGTAGCTTGACTTTTCGTGCCCCTTTTCGGAGATCGAATAAGCCCTACAGTTCGGACTCTTATAGTTCTGAATTTAATCTCACAAGTGCAATGTGAATTTAATAAATACCAAAGAGTTCAAATCCGACAAATCTTTTGAAAAATCGATTTTGAATAAAAAAATGCCAAAAATGGACTACTTTGTCAGATACAAAGTCGTCACCTAAATATTTTATTTTGGAGAAATTTAGGAAACCCATGACTTGTGTCAAAGGCCACGTATCCGTCATCACCAAGATTGTCTCGGCTTGGGAACTTAGGTACGAGAGGGGAAGGTCATGAATGAATTTAAGCACCCCCGCTCACCCGATCAAAGATCGACCTCTACTAATCATGATATGAATCTTATTTACATTGTATGCTTTTGTTCCGGTTTATTAGGCTAACATTACTGTGTAATGCGCACACACACAAGTATAGATTAAATCGCAAGAATTGGAACACTCGATTCATGTTTGTTTTGAAAATTGTTTCGAAATATGTACCACTTGGAAAAATGATCGCATGAAAACACTACTCAAATTATTCCAATTCAAGCAACAAGCCTTTATCCACAGACATTCAAGTAGTTATAGCACTTAAACACTTAGCCTCATAGTAAGCATGCTAGACATGGCAACATCAACACTCATGCAATTATGCTAAAACGACTAAAGGCTCACCTAGTACTCCAAGCCAAAAGAAATGAGTTAGAAAAATGCGTGATCCTAACTTTATGCGATATGACTAATGCAACGCATGCGTTATGCAACTAAATAGGCTCGGCTACTTAATCATGGCACGCGAATTAATTAATAGCATGCGATCTAAGCACGTATTCAAAGAATGTATTAAACTAACAATGCAAGTAGAATGATGAACCGAGTCTCGGTGCATGCAATACAAATGGATGCAAACATGAAGTATGCTAAACAAAACATGATATCCCTAAACTAACCATCATAAGCTAGTAAATAAAAGAAGAAAGACATGGGGTTGGAAGACATACACATTATTACATTGTGCTCTCACTAAAGAGAGTCCGAATAAATTAAGCAAATTAACTAACTAATTAAAGCTAAGCTAATTATTACAACAAATGAATCGACTAATTATTCTAGTTAACTAACTAATTACAAAACGAAATTGAATAACTAATTAACTAACTAATTAGTTTCAACACGTTACAAAATTAACTTGCTACAACTAATTAATTACAACAATTTAAACTTAAAACATGCTTGGCACGCGAGGAATGCTCATGCACATGCTCGGTTTCCATCCGAAAAGCTACTGTTTTGCTTCCGGAGAGCCTCTGTTGTATAATAGAACACACACACTGTTGCCCACTTCCAGAATAACTCTACTCTGTCTAAGAAACATACTGCTGAATTTTGTATCAGTGGCCGGCAGACTAGTGATGAGGGTTACCGACCACCAGTGATGGCCGGCCGGCCATCAAAGGTGGTCTGCCGGCCATGGAAAGTGGCCTACCGGCCACTGCTGCCCAGTTCTCCTTGCTGCAACAAAGGACAAACAGAGCATATCCAGGGTATTCTCAAGGGTTTGTTTGCACAACTTACCCCTCATTTTCATGAACAAATCAAAGGAGTAGCAAGTTTGGTTCACAAACCATCAATGGATGCAATTTTATTGCATGATGGCTTATGAAACCAAGTGTGCAAGTTTAATAAATGCAATGAAATGAGACTCTCAAAACCACCTCCCTATCATGAAAAATCAAGGGAAGTGATGACCTTGGAGACTTGAATCATTTCATCACTAGCAAGTATGAAATGACCCGAGTTCCATGTGTTCAATTAACGTCCGATTGAACACAAAATCAAATTCTTATCTTGCATCATTTTAGTCCCATTTTATTATTTCATTTTAGATTACCAACCATCCTTTGATTCATTAAGTCCAATAGTGAGTTTAAATCCTCAAATGGAGTGAAGTACCAAACCCAAAGTTAACTTAAGACATGAAAGAGATGTCATGCCGTTGATAATGAACCCTAAAAGGGATTAAACCATTAAGCATGACAATCTCAATCTCATGCTTAAAAGAACAAGAGGCTTGAAACAACTCTCAAAGCAAAACAAAAGCCAAGAAAGAAGGGAGGTTGCAGAGATTATTATTGCTAAAAAAAGTGAGAAAAGCATAAATAAATGCTATCAACTCGAATAAGATGGTGTCTAAGGCCTAAAACACCAAACTCATGAGTACAATTACACTACAAACATGCAAAATAGCCCAAAACTGTGCTAGAACAGCCTAAAAATAGTCTTAAAACATGCTAGAATTAAGCTAACAAAAGCTAGATTAATATGCTAAAACATGACACAAGCTAGGCTAGTAAACAAGACACAAGGAGAGGAGGCTAACCCCTCCAAATTTGGACTTCAAAACATGATTTTGGCTACTGAAAAAGCTCTAAAAAAGAGTGTCTAAAAGCTCAGAAAAAGATAGTGCAAAGAAGGGAAACACAAGGGTAAAGGCCTTAGAAGCTAGGTAGAAGGAATGGTGAGCCACCCCTCCACCATTATTGACCTTAAACCACAAGTTTTAGCCCAAAATTTCAGAGTTTAGACAGTTCAAAAACAACCCAAAAATAGTACAAAAATGTGCTGGAATGAAGACAAAAGTAGCTAAAATAATAAGTTAAAACATGGAGCAATTTAAGCTAGTAGACAAGCCAAAGGAGGGGTGGCTAACCCCTCCATTTTTGGGACTTCAAAACCACTTTTTTAACCTCTGAAAACTCCAAAAATCAATGGTAAAAAGCTTTTAAAAAGTTGAGTAAAGAATGGGAAACACAAGGGCAAAAGCTTAGAGAATAAGGTTCAAGGAAGGATGGTAACCCCTCCACCTTTGGTAGCTTCAAACCACAAGTTTGAACCCATAAAAATAGGTTTTAAATAGCTCAAAAATCAGTAGAAAAGATGGAAAACAAGTGGTGTAAAGATGGTACAAAAGCAAGAGAATGTATACCTCTTGAAAAGGAATGAACCCTTAAGTCATAAACCAACAATTTCACACTCTCAAGTATTTTAAGAGCTCAAATTCAAGCTCAAATCACCTCAGCAATAAGCTCTCTAGGTTTGGTTTAGAGTGTTTGGGCAAAGGCTATGCAATTTGCAAGAGAGAGAGAGAGAGAGAGAGAGAGAGAGAGAATTGTAGAGAGAGGATATTTTTCAAAATTATTTCCTCACTCCTAAATGTTTTTAACCTTAAAACAAGAAAGGGAGGTCTCCTATATATAGAAAATATGAATTCCCTACAAGAGCACCCAGCCCCACACATGGGGGTAGATGCATGCATCTGTGCAACCAGTTGGCACAGTTGTCACAAAATATCTGCAAAAGAAACTGGTGACTAGCCAACCATCACTGGTGGCCGGCACTCCAAAAGTGATGGCTGGCAGCCCCAAAAGATGGCCGGCAGGCCACCAAAAGCTGCAGGCTTGAAGAACCAAGGCTTGGTCCAAGAATGAGACAACAGGGGTATAGGGTTTGAAAGGCTCAATGCTATGGCATTCCGCTGAAGAATTCGAGCACTTGACGGGCATATAGACTTATCAATGAGTGTGCATGCAATGGTGTCCAAGTCATAAGGGTCGTAAAAAATGGGGTGTTTACACAATGCCCCTCTTAATCTCAAGTAGTTGTTGTTGATACCCATATTTCATAGGAATAGTGTGTTTTAAGGCTGTTTTGAGCGAGGGTTATGTTATGTTATGATCTTTTATAACCAGCAGAAAAGCTACCAACCAAAAAAACCAACAAATTATCATATGAGTCAAGAAGAACACACGATTGTGTGCCTATCTAATAGTATACTCGTATTTTTCTATTTCTTCTTCTTTGTAGGGTCATGTAATTCTTTAAATCTCTTCTATTGGTTGGGCACATTACCAATGTAAAATTCCCATACACACATGATATAATTGTTCAAAAAAAAAAAGTCTAGGAAATTTACTCAAAATAATAGTGGATGGTGTAGATTGAAATTTGTATAACATGATCCATTTTTGAAATGCATCTTAACCATTAAATAATCCTTTTCGTTATTTTTTTGGGTAAATATTATAGGTTTCTAGTATTGCTCATAATCAGTAGAAAAATTATCAACCCATAAAAGCAATCCAGAAAATTTATTCAAAATAATAATTGATGGTGTAGATTGAATTTTGGACAATGGATTCCTTTGTAATACATCTTAACCATTGAATATTCTTTCTCAGTATTTTTCTAGGTAAATATTGTGAGTTCCTAACATTGTTACTTATATAATAAAATCTGAGTATGAGAATGGGAATAATATCTCATACTCAAGATATGTATCTAATAATAGTTAATGGAGTCTTGGAAGTAGACATATAGCATTAAAACAAGTGATGTTTTGAGACTACCAAATAATTTTGATTTAAACTGATATCTGTCAAATTTTTTAGTAGTATTAAATGGAAATCACAATTATGAATTTTTGTTCTTCTAATTAATAAAAGAAGAAAAAGTGGTTGCGGGATTATTAAATGATGCATTGGGAGTTGTAACTACAAGAATAGTTGCCTAAACATCACAACTTTCAAATTATCTAATGCATGCTGGAACATCTGTAATCTGTCCAATACCTAGGGCTTACAGTCAAACAGGGAACAAACTCGTAATAAGAAAAAAAAAGATGCATACAGTTAAGCATGGTGCAAACTAATTTCACACCTCGCAAAATAACAAAATTGGCAAGAACAAAACTAGATCAAACATCGAAAAGTGAAACAAATTAATCACGTTTAACAATACATAATACAACAAACCAAGGGATGATAAGGTACCTCTATTGAGAAGGAAGGGACAAAATGAATTCTGAACAGAAAACATAATTGGAAATTCTATATATTCCAGTTTGTGAAGGTAACCTCCTCAACCTGCTTGCTTTGATACTGTAGTGACATTCGCAAATAGATGTCATAAAAATTCTGTGGGTATTAAAACAACAATCAGAAAAAAAAAAAAACATAAAAAAAAAGAGGAGAAGAGAAGAGAAGAAAAAAAAAAAAAAAAAGAGAGAGAGAGAGGAGAAGGGAAGAAAGCAAGGCAAGGCAGGACGGCAGGGCTAATAGCTAATATTTCCTTCTTCCCAGCATATTAAAGAGGTTAGCACACTTTGCTCATCGGCTCAATGGATAACACATGAAGCTAAAAAAGAACTACAATAAGGAAATATACATAGAATATGTATAAATACTCAATTAGCCATAATCTTGCTAGAAACACTGACCTCTGCATAAATGGTGAGCTTTATAATAATTGTAACAATCAGGAGAAAACCATAGCTACCAAAACCCACAAATACTCACTCAAGGACTTCCATGTCATGGGATTGCAAGCTTAATTTTAGAACCATAAAAGCCTCAAACAAGATAAAGGTAGATGAACCACCACCTTCCTATACAATAAACATGCACTGATTGATTCACATGATGTATATTACTACCATTTCAGAGTTTGTTCATGCATGTTCGATGAAGTGTTTTTTTTTTCGTAATCCCCAGCACATATTCATTTTATGCAAATTAATTAACCACCTTTTTGGAAAAGTTTTCGTAATCCCTACCACATATCCTTATACAGAAATGTATCTGAAAGAGGCATTTCATCGAGCACCTGGTGGGTGGACAACGATTCCCCCGAAATAGAATCAACGACGGAGACCCCAAGGCAGCAGCTTTGAAGGTTACAACTCTCATTCTCTTTGCAATTATTATTATTATTGCAAAAAGAAAGGTTTATTGAATTGGGTTATGGGAACAAATGTTGGTTTACTAGTTTTGGAGAAGGCATGTTGTAAGTGTGTAGTCTGTATCATTTGTGTAGATACAAATATCGAATGCAAAATTCTTACATTAAAACTGAGAGTGAGAGAGAGAGAGAGAGAGAGAGAGAGAGAGAGAGTCATTGCTTTCAAACTCTAGGGTTTTCAAAGGAAGTAAAAGAGATGAAAACAGATAAGTGCAAGATGCAAATAAATATACAAAGTTTGGATCTACAATACCTTGAGAGGTACCAATTGAACGTTGAAGACTCCTAAAGCTCTGAGAGAGGTGATATCCATGTACTGACCGAGATCGAGAGAGAGTGGGCGGCGATGTCGGCTTGGTGAAGGTGGATCAACAAATTGATGCCGACGGGAGTGAACTCGTAGATAAAAAATGGAGAGAGAGGGAGAGAGAGAGAGACAACTTGAAGATGGAAGATGGAAAGCGTGCCAGAGAGAGAGAGGGGGAAAAATAAAAATATCAGAGGCACCAAGCGTTTAAGAATTTGGGGATTTTGGGTGTTGTGGCTATTAGTGACGGAATAACGATGCCCATCGCAAAAAAACAAAAAAAAAAGATTAAAAATATATATTTCCGTAGGGAGGTAAAAATCGTCGCAAAAAATGATCCTTTCGCGATGGCTGTAGGTTTACTGTTGCAAAAACCATCGAACATATGCTTCTTTCTTTTTGAGACAAAAATTACCATCGCAATAAGTGACCATGGGCGACGGAATGTTAACCGTCGCAAAAAGTAGTTTTTTGCTACGTCAATGTATGCCGTCGCAAAAAGCTCCGTGTCATATACCCCTTTTTTATCTAGTAGTGAAAATACACCAGCCAGTTCTCTGTAACAGAAAAAAATAAACAACACCGGCCAATACAAAAAAAATGCCAAATAATAAATTAAGCACACCAGCCAATGCTTTGCAATACAAAGAAAATGATAAATAAATAAATAAAGCACATCAACCAATATGTACAATCAAAAAATAACAAATAACAAATTAAGCACATCAATCAGTGTTCCACAATATAGAAAAAAAAAAAAAGACAAATAAATAAAGCACACTAGTCATGCTTTGCAATAAAAAAAAAATTACAAAAATTGTGTTAATGAACAATTATTTAAATATACAATAGACACTAAATTTACACATTATTCAATGTCAAGCATATGTGACTTCCCCTGAAATATGCAAAAAACTAAATTAAATCGTTGCACTTAAATTTAGTGAATTTTCAAAGACATTTTATGATCTACACTGAATAACCACTCATAGGTCCAATCTTTTACATTGATAGAGACTTTACAAAACTATTAGAAATCCACTAAGCTACATATTAGTAGGAGGCTTTACAAAAGTGATTAACATCAAGGATATACTTTACAAAATATTTGCCATATAATGTCTTCAAACTTGCTGCTTTACAAAAAGTACTTGGGCGCCTCTAAAGTGATTGGACGCCTTCAAACTTGTTCTCCATCACATTCGAAATGTCCATGTATCAACTTTTGTGTACTTTTTCTAGTGAAGAGCATGCACAACAATCTAATATTTAAAAAACAATAACATTAGTATATTGAAACAATACGAAAAATAGATATTAAAACAATATGGATTAAGGATATCTTATTACAATTCCATCGGAGCAATGTAGTCTTATTTATTCTCTTGAGCTCCACAACTTTTTCAACCCAATCCTACAAAAGTTCGATTTGATCATAATTTAAAACACAATTTTAATTCAAATACACTTTTAATTTATTTTCTTCATTCATCATTTGTGTTCTTTTTTAAACTCTAGTTACTTCCCTCTTCTATTTGGAAAATTTTATATCTTTGTAAAAGATCCTTTATAATGTTTTCAAGTTTATTGTTTATTAAGGATGCATAATTTATTGAAAATTAGTAATATTAAGGATTAAAAGCATCGCACTTATCTTCACAAATTGTACAGTAAAAAAAAAAAATACATATAGATTATGCATGCTTCAAAATATCAAATTTCCCCATGCTCCAAAACAAACTTGAAAAGAACCATACTACTTGTGTATTTTTTATTTCCTTTCTTGAGTAGTTTTCCTTTCCTTTTCCTTTAAGCTTTTTATTTGCCTTTGCTTTTTAAAAAATAAGCAAAAATGTTTAAGAAAAAACATGAGAAGCAAATAAATTTGATTAGTGGGCTTACCCCACAAACACAGAGGATGTTGAAGTCTTGTTCATTATAGATCACAACACTAACAATTCTATTTTGAAGAAAATGAACCTGTGTATATATAGAAAAATGATATTAAGAAATGTAGATTAAATAAAAAATTAGTATAGAGATATAATATTATTGTTTCCACCAACATATCATCCACCTGTAAAAAATAATACAAAAGCATTTGATTATGAGAAAAATCTTAAATAATAAGTAAGAAATTAATTCTCGATTCATAAAATATAAACCAAACATACATAGCCAAAAATATGAATGTTGTCCATGATTTGAATTAAAATGAACTCCAAGGTTGTTGAAGAGGTTGAAATACCACAAAGTTGTAGTGAAGAAATAACTCATTTAATAGTTCTATAAGTAGATTGGGCTTAAATACCAATGGGCTGTACAATGACTATTTGATTACTTAATTGCGCCATAATTTAAGTAACACCCCAATTTTTATACCCAAATGATAATACGATAACCATGGTTCTTTAAAGTAAAACTGAAAATAAATTCTCACACTTGTATTACATGATACAAATAGTCTTCAAGCGATAATACATTCACTTCAAATCAAAATAACATAAACAAATAGATACCCCCAAGGGTTTACAAGTTTCCAAGGCTTAGGCCTGGTTACACAAAATGGTTATTCAAACCCACACAAATACAGCCCTTGGCTTACAAACAGAGTTACAGCAAAATGAGAGCCTTGTACTCTCAACACATATTTCCTCGCCTTTAGTTAGGCGGAATCACCACATCTTTTCCTGCACAAAAATCCCATAGGATGAGCATAAAGCCTAGTAGGAAATCCTTAACAAAGTATATACATTTTATACAAGTCTCAAGAGATGAATGCACATGCCATACTATGTCTTTTTGCAAATAAATCATATTTTCATCTTTTGAAAACCATCATGCTCAATGATGCCATGAAATATCTATTGTTCAAAACTTAACAATTTAATTCAAGGGGCGGTAAATACAACTCTGGTAATCTCTAGGTCGGCGTCTACAAGTAGACTATACAAGTACTACCAAATTGTCATTTTTACTGGTATTAACCAGAAGGCTCGACACTTATCCGCGCGGGTTTTCGGTCTTTCACCCCGGACTCTCAAGCTAACTTATTCAATATCATCTACACTACCTATCCAGACTTACCAACGTATTTACCCCAAAACCATTCCATGAAAACTTATTTCTTAACATTCTTTTCTCAATGCAAGTTTTCAAATCAACTTTCAAAGTTTAATGTAATCAAATGAATTGATATGCCAATTTCACAAGATGAATATATGTGTGGGTGATTTTCCGACGACACTGCCCACTTAGTAACCAGCTGGAGAGCACTGGCAGAACAGATGGCACCTGACTGACCTGTAACAGAAATATAAGAATCCCGCGGTGGTTTCGACCACCCGGGGGCACTCCGACGATCAAGTCAATATATCTCTCAAAGATAATCAAGTGCTAAACTCACAAGCTTGAGTATAAAACTGTGTACCTTAGACCCACGGGGGTGCCTTTCTTTTATAGTTTACTCAATCCAAGTCCTACTAGAAGCCTGACTTCTATGGACTCCAATTTAGTACTTACTTTGGATTCCTCAAGAGATAAAGATAAACTCCCTAAGAGCTTTATCCTTATCTTAGCAGAAGTCTTCTCTTTTCTCTAGGACTCTTGTCCATAACTAAGTTGAGTTCCCTCTTCATTCTAGGACTTTTGTCCCTTATCCGCTTATCTTGGATTCCGATATCTTCGGAGTCAACCTCGGTCTATCCATGATAACCTCGGCATAATTACCACGAGACACGTGGCACCTCGGCTGACACGTCGGCGTCACCTTGGCCACGTGTTGGTATCAGAAAATATATCCCCACAACTGCCTCTAGGTTCTATTATTTCGGCATTCTGAGGTGATGGAACCTATATCGATTTTTCTTTCTGCATATTGGCTCAAAAACTGTTTAGCCGAGATCATTTATTTCTGGCCGACGTGCTCTCTTCGGAGAACAAGAACTTAAACAAATTCCCTCACACGCATGAGCTGTCATGCATTTCTTCTCAACCGTTCCCCTTACGTGTTCTATCTTCATTGGCCCGTGTCTGTGGCGCGCTTGTAAGCCGCCTTTTCACCTATCTGCGCCGTCTGACGCATACGTTCCTCCAGGCGCAATAAATGCCCTGTTTTGCCGCCGTTTCAAGTTTTTGATAAAGCTTTTCTTTCCATCTTCATTTCTTTACTTTTGCATTCGATTTTCTGGCTCTCTCTCTCTCTAAACTTTCTCAAACCCGCCATTGCTCTAGCTCCAAGCTCTGCAACTGTCTTCATTCTTCCATTCCAACGAAGCTTTCGTCGTTCCGTTTTGTTTGCAACCGTTGCCTTACCTCGGCAACTTTCATTCCGGCTTCATTTGTTCTGGTAAGCCTCTGTTCCTCTTATTCCCAATTTCTTTTATGTGCTTTCGTTTACTTACTGCCATTTATTGCGCTGTTCAAACCTTTGATTTGCTGAACTACTCATCTGGATGCGTCTATTCCATGATTTTACTCATATCTTGAACACTTGCACTGTTTTTAATACTTTTCTTGCCACTGTTCTTAACCTTTTACTTCTGTATTTCTTTCGCTTTTGAGAACCATACCTCTGTTCTTTGTTTCTGAAATGTCGTTCTTTGTTTCTTGTTTTCCAGATTTCTGCCTTTAATTTTTGCTTTCAATCTTTGCCTCCATAGTTTTAGTTTTGGGTATTGTCTATAGAACCTTCAATTTTTAGGGAAAACTGAAACAACCCTTACCAGTATATTCCTAGGGTTTTGCCGAGGTCCCGATAACCCCTTAAGACCACCTTCTTTCTGAAACCTAGCTTTCTGTCTTTAGGCCGACGTTATGGGTATGTGGAGACATAGGGTAGATACCCCGTCCAAACTTGAGTACTTTAGGCAGGAGTTCTCCGTCCCTGTCGATGTTCACCTGAAACTGGTTGGGGATGATGACTCCATCATGCCTACCGAAAACACCATGCCTCTCCCTATTGTAGCCTTTACTGAATGTGGACTTCGGCTTCCACTTAACATTCTTTTTCGCGAGATTCTGCATTATTATAAGATGCAACTTACTATCAACTCTTATAGAGTGATCAATGGCATCATAGCTTTAGCTAGGCAGGAGAACGCTAGGATTACCCTGGCCGACATTCAGTACTGTTATACCATGTGCCCCCTTAGCCTGAAGGAAAAAGGTTACGTCTACTACCTCAAGCCGAGGTCCACTGAATTCAAAATCG